GTTTAGTTTCCTATTGGTACCTCCTTTTATGGAACTGGAGAAGTTAGTGGGCAGCTAGAGCGCACAGGAAAGAGAGTAAGTCATTTTATTGGATTTGTAATCCCAGCTAGCTAGTTACCCCTCAATTCCTAAGATATAAAACTCATTTCATTTTCTTTATAAAAACGTGAATGGAGTTTTCAATATATATAAGCTGTTGTGCAGAATAAATAAGAGTAATATAGTGCAGAAAAATAAAAGAGAGGAAAGAGAATATCGAGTCGTGATTTATAGTGGTTCCTCTAACCTGGAGTATGTCCATTCTTCAAACCTCCTTACTCGAGAGTTCAATCCACTAGAAATCTCTTGCTTATGGGTGCAAGATTAAACCGGAACAAACTCTTGCTTGCAGGTGCAAGATTAAACCCTCACAAGTGAATCTCAACTCACTCAAACCCTTCAAGGATTATCCCAATCCAAGAAGAATATAAAACCCTTATAAGACAATTAACCCAAAAGCTCACAAGAAGAAGAAGAAGAAGAAGATCCTGAACAGTTTCAAAAACAAACTGTTTTTCTATATCACTGGAGCAGTTCGTTCTTCATTTCATTCCCGATCTGATTTTATGATCTTTTTTTAATAGTAGGTTTGGAACTTTGCAATTAAACCCCATTTAGCGCTTCAAAGCCACCTCACTAATGCTCCAATTAGATTCCACCTTATTCTACTAACTCTGACTTAACTTTGAAAAGTGTTCAGACAATTGGTTCCCCCAAGGCTCATTCAGAATAAAAATAAATGGATAGTTGAGCTGTCAAAATTTAACTTTCCAGAATTTTTGCTTCGAAACCAGAAATAATGGTTCGAACCATTTTCGAAAAAAAGAAGTTCGAGATTGGTTCGAATCAATTTAAATTGGTTCGAACCCAGAACTCTGAATAAGGGAATCATGAATTAATTCTAATCGTGGGGAAAGATTAAAATTCTTGAATTAATTTTCTTGCACAGTAAGTACAAAAATAGATTAAACTCTTTTGAATCATAGTTTTAAATCATCATCAAAAAACAAAGAGAACCTAACAATCTCCCCCTTTTTGATGATGACAAAATTCCTTAAAATAATAAAGATAATAAGTGTAAGCTCCCCCTCAAAATATGCTTCCAAGTTTCAACAGGAATAGCACAAACAAGTAATAAAGATAATTTTCATTTTTAAGTTCCTCTCCCCCTTTTTGTCATTAGCAAAAAGAAACATACAAATCAGCAAAATGCAGTACACTACGAAAATCCTTAGCTTCAGCAACATGGAAGCATGTTGCTGAAAGTGGTTCCCATGTTGCTGAAAATCCTTCAGCAACATGGGTTTGCTTGATAAAAGTTTTGTTGGAGAAGGCTTGGTGGGTAATACTTTACCAACCAAAATCTTGTTGCTGATGTATCAGCAACATAAGCTACGTTGCTGAAAATATAGTATTAGCAACATAGCTTATGTTGCTGAAAATATTCACCGAAATCCGGTGAGAGAAGGGGTGAATTTTCTCACCCTCTTTAGCAACATAAGCCACGTTGCTGAAGATAGCACTACTAGAAAACCATACAAGTTCGGTCAATCACATTGACTGAACAAACCCATATTTTGACCGAAAAACTACTATTTCGGTCAAGATGCTTAACCAAATTGTTGGACCGAATAAGCACTGACGGAAATACAATTTCGAATGGAATTTTGTCTTGACCGAAATTATTCATTATTTCGGTTAAGATCATTGACCGAAATATGGGGTAAAAAGTCATTAAAAAAAACTTAGTTTCGATGAAAATATTTGACCGAACTATTAAAACAATATTTTAATGATAAGGTTTGGTCAAGTGTAATGACCGAAATAGTCATGGATGACTGATTTCCCGGTATTAGATTTCGGTCAAGAATATTGACCGATTTAATCAACATGACTATTTTGGTAATTGACACATACTATTTCGGTCAAATAAATTAACCGAAATTATTGTAATTTTCATAATATAATATCATGTATTATTTCGGTCAAGTTTCTTGACCGAAATAATAATACAGAATAAAAAAAAAAAACTATTTTACGAATTTTGACCTGGATGATAAAATAATTCTAATAAAAATTGGTGTTTAAAAAATTAAAATTTTAATATCCTCAATTATTTACCCTTCATATTTATTTAATTTATTGCTGTTTATAATTTTAAATTACAATTATAATTTTATTTCTAGAAATGTAAAAAAAATGATGAAAAAAATCCGAAAATACAAAAAATACTACACATTTGAGGATAGCATTAAATCCAATTTAAATACAAAAATAAGTTAAATTTATATATATAATAAGTACAAATAATTGAAAACGTTTTGAATATTGAATAATATAAAACAAATAAAAAATTGATGATAAATATTGAATAATATAATAAAATTACCTATAAATTGCTGCATTATCATCTTCACCAACTTAAGAGACCCTGAAAATTATCAAATTTAAATCAGTAGTACACAATTAACATTATATAACATAAAGATAATGTTACGCAATTAACATTACATAATGTTAAAGATGATTGTTGAAAGTTAAATAAATAAAAACTAAAGTAAAATGTTGAGGTTGAAGAA